AAAGTGGGGACCTCACCACCAACGTTACAAAAATTGAAAGGATTAGATGGAAATGCTGTGAACAACTTTATGCCAACAAACCAGACGATTTAGATGAACTGGAAAAATTCCTAGAGACATAAATAATTGAAAATGACTCAGATATAGAAAATCTTAACAGACCTGTAACATGTAAAGAGAAAGTAACTGAATTAATAATTAAAAATTATCCCACAAAGAAAAGCCCATACTCAGATGGCTTCCTTGGTTAATTCTATGAAACATTTAAATAAATAATGTCAATCTTTATAAACATTTCCAGAACACAGAAGAGAGACTACTCAATTCATTCTGAGGCCATTATTTTTTTGTATAGTTGATTTACAATGCTGTGTTAGTTTTTAGTGTACAGTATAGTGATTCACTTATATGTATTTTTCCTAGTCTTTTTCATTATAGGTTATTTACAAGCTATTGAATATAGTTCCCTATGCTATACAGTAGGACCCTATCTATTTTATATACAGTATGTTGTATCTGCTAATCTCAAACTCCTAATTTATTCCCCCCCACCCACCCAATTTCCCCTTTGGTAGCTGTAAGTTTGTTTTCTGAGTCTTTCTGTTTTGTAAAGAAAAGTTCATTTGTGTCATTTTTTAAAGATTCCACATATAAGTGATATATGATATTTGTCTTTCTCTGACTTACTTCACTTAGTGTGATAATCTCTAGGTCCATCCATGTTGCTGCAAATGGCATTATTTCCTTCTTTTTTATGGCTGAGTAGTCCATTGTATATATACACCACAACTTCTTTATCCAGTCATCTGTGGGACATTTAGGTTGCTTCTTTGTCTTGGCTATCGGAAATGGTGTTGCTGTGAACATTGGGATACATGTATCTTTTTGAATTAGTTTTCTCTGGGTATATGCCTAGGAGTGGGATTGCTAGATCATATGGTAACTCTATTTTTAGTGTTTTAAGGAACCTCCATACTGTTTTCCACAGTGGCTGCACCAAATTACATTCCCAGCAGCGGAGGAGGGTTCTCTTTTCTCTAAACCTTCTCCAGCATTTATCATTTGTGGACTTTTGAGTGATGGCCATTCTGACTGGTATAAGGTGATATCTCAATGTAGTTTTGATTTGCATTTCTCTGATAATTGGCAATATTGAGCATCTTTTCATGTGCCTGATGGTCATCTGTATGTCTTCACTGGAGAAATGTCTGTTTAGGGTCTTTTGCCCATTTTTTTTGCTTGGGTTGTTAGTCTTTTTGTTACTGAGTTGTATGAGCTGTTTCTATATTCTGGAACTTAAGCTCCTGTCAGTCCTGTCATTTGAAAATATTTTCTCCCATTCTATAGGTTGTCTTTTTGTTTATGGTTTCCTTTGCTGTGCAAAAGCTTGTAAGTTTAGTTAGGTCCCATTTGTTTATTCTTGCTTTTATTCCTGTTGCCTGGATAGACTGCCCTAGGAGAATATTGCTAAGATTTGTCAGATAATGTTTTGCCTATGTTTTCTTCTAGGAGGCTTATCATGTCTTATCTTACATGTTTAAGTATTTAAGTGTATGGTGTGAGGGAGTGTTCTAACTTCATTAATTTACATGCAGCAGTCTAGTTCTCCCAACACCATTTGCCAAAAAGACTGTCTTTTCTCCATTGTATAGTCTTGCCTCCTTTGTCGAAGATTAACTGACAGTAGGTGTCTGGGCTTAGTTCTGGGCTCTTTATTCTGTTCCATTGATCCATATGTCTGTTTTTGTGCCAATACCATGCTGTTTTAATTACTGTAGCTTTGTAGTATTATCTGAAGCCTGAAAGGGTTATGCCTCCAGCTTCATCTTTTTTTTCAGTATTGCTTTGGCAGTTCTAGGTCTTCTGTGGTTATATATAAATTTTAGGATTATTTGTCCTAGTTCTGTGAAAAATGTCCTGGGTAATTTGATAGGGATCACATTAAATCTGTAGATTGCTTTGGTATGGTATAAAACCATTATTAAATTGATTCCAAAGCTAGAGAAAGACAGCAAGAGGAAAGAAAACCACAGACCAATACCATGAATTACAGAAGCAAAAAATCTTGCATGAAATATTAGCAGTCAAATCCAGCACCTCTTTCCAGGGTGCTATTAGTGGTCCACTTCTTACGAGTAAATTACTGAACTAAACATTTTTGTCTTGTGCACTTAATCTGTTTTGTGTTACGGTTCAAGATTTAAACACATAAGAAAGAAAAGAATGCCTAGTCTATGCCTTCAAAATATAAATGATTTAGTAAAAGATAAAGGCTAACAGAAAAATGTAACACAGTACGACAAGTTCCCTAAAAGGAATACAGTGTTGAGAGGAAATGGGAGCATAATTGATCCATGAATGCTACTGGTTTTATTTTATTTTTGAGGGCATATGAGAAGAAAAAAGCCAAGAAAAACTTTATAAAGGAAATAGAACTGGGGTTGCCTTCATCATAAATGGGTACAATTTCTACAGGTGAGGAGAAAGAAACATTTAGGTAGAGATCTGCATGAGCAAAGCTTGAAGCCCATTTGGGAGAATCATCAGGTCAGATTTGGCTCAATCACTACATGTATAGATCCAAAAAAATTTTTTTTCGCTTGAAGGCCAAGCTGAGGAAGTATGAACTTACTTGAAGTATAGAGGGAGTAACTTAAATTTTCAGAGCGGGAAAGAGACAAGATGTACACTCTGGGGGTATTAGTTTGAGGAGTTTAGTTAAGGAGTTTAACATCTTTAACCAAGGAGATGGAGAATGGGGTAGCAGTTACAGAGCTCAACAGGTAAGGGACTTCAGCAGTCAAGTGGTTCTCAACCACTTCCTCAGCCTTTCAGGAGCTGGAGAGATTGACACTATTTTCATGACAAGTTATTTGCATTTTCCAATCTCAGTCATGTTTTCCAGACATATGTTACCACAACAGATTACATGAAGAAGCAGATGAGAATCTTAGGAGTTCTCTATTAAACGTGGCAGTAAAGACCTAAATCTAAAATACTGTTACGTATTTTTATATATGAAAATATAAAACAAGACCATTCTTGTTTTGTAAAAGTTACATTTTCATTAAAAATGTCATTTATGTTAGTGTTGGTTTATGATTTTTAAATGAATTAAATGTTTAAAGTTTATTCTAATTTGGAATACATTAAATATGACTAGATATAATCAGTATAAACAAAAGCTCTTCAGGGCCCTCAGTAATTTTAATCTGAATAAAGGGGTCCTGACACTAAAAAGTCTGAGAGATTTTGGAAAGACTTAAGGACATATAAGTATTACTATTACTCTAGTAATTATTTATACTACCTATTTATATTACTATAGTAATTACAGTAACTACTACTATAGTAATAGTGATTAGAATGAAATGGAAAGAATTAAATAAAAGATATTGTAGTGACAGAATTGATAGGAGTTGGACAGTAAATGTGGGGGCAAAATGGGGAGGGACACAAAGAAGAATCCAAAAGTTCAGCCTGAACGACTTGTGACAATGACAGATAAGAGAAATAAGAGAGACGGAATTGAGGTAAGAGAAAATAAAAAAGATCGGAGACTTTGAGGATGGCAAGAAAGCAGCCGACTAGGGACATCTAAGAAAATTAAGTAGGTATACGGGGTCTAAGATAGACTTTGATGGTGATGTGTGCAGGAAAGACCGGTTGCTGTGGCATCTTACATGATTCTGCATCATCTCCTGCAAAAAAGATACATAAACATTACCGTGAATATCTTGCGTCACTTGTTCTCAGTTCCTTGGTGGAAGTTTGTTGTAGTCTGTTCTTAAAACATCTCTTATACTGCCAATTCTGGGAGCTTCTGGGTTACATTTATTTTTACTAAGTGCTTTTTACTGTTTTCTTTGTCTTGGCTGAACTGCTATAGACAACTAGCAGTTTCTAAGAGGCAGTCTCCTGTAGTTGTAGGGGAACCAGACTGAAAAGACAGAAGACTTCATTCTCATTAATTACCTTCTCTTGAGTTCACTCACTTTCGTCAGTTTATAAACTAAAGAGAACATACAAGGTTGATCTATTAGACTTCTTCAGATTGAAAATTTTACGAATCAGATATCAACCCTCGTAAACAAAAAAATACATCCCAGCCTCCAAAGGAGTTATAACCAACCCAGATAATAATTAGCAATATCTTTCTCAACTGACTGAATCTGATCTTGTTTCTCTATAAAGCAGAATTGTCTTAAATTTAGTTTAAAAGCTACGTCTTTAGAACTTAACAGGAAGTTCTGAATCCTAGTATTTTGTTGGCAAATGTGACTTGACTTGAATGGTAGACTTCTTGATTTTGCAAATCTAAGCATATTTGCTCTGACACCTCTACCCGCATACCCACTTCCCCATATAACTATCACCTTTCCAGGCTAAGGAGTTCTGTCATTGTTTTGGCCAATCTTGAAAACCTCTCTGTCCCACTGATCCCTTATATTACCCATTTCTGGATTCTACTAAGTCTTGAAGTTATAGGATCAAAGATTAATTAATTATTGTAGGCCAGAATAATGTTAGGAAAAAACCCATCACTTTCCTGGGCTTTTTGGTCACAGTGTATCAGGCTGCTATCTTCATGGGATCATTTATAAATTATAGTTTATAGTGGTGCTTACCTTTCATTTTACTAGAAAAAGAAAAAATTTTTTCAAAGGAAATTTTATATAATAGCCCACTATGTAAAAGTCATTCAGTGCTCTGAATGAGGCTTGTAAAGACCCAAAGCCCACTCCCCCTCGCCACAGCAACATCAATAAAACAGTACAAAATTCACTGCTGCTCAATTTACTCAAACATACATAATATAAAAGTTTTCACACGTGCATTTTAGGAAAACTGCCCTTTTTTAAGCAGTTAAGGAATGGACAGAACCATCAACTTCAACAAATACTGGCTACAACATATGATATCAGGAGGAATCATTAGTAATTCCTCCTATAACAGATGTCAGCATAGCACAAGATAACACACACACACACACCAGCAGCGAAATGGGTCAAAATGATTTTTTATTGCACATTTGCTTACAAGTTTGCTGCTCTTGGGTGGAGCTAAAGCTCAAGTGTTGAGTTAGTTTCAGCCGTATTTCCATTATCCTGATGATAGCAGTGATTTGCCTGTATGTTCTCCTAGGCTTATTATGTCCCAGAAACTACAACATTAACCTTCCCAATCTGTCCATGTACTAGGAGCACAGGCTTAACAATTAAAAAAAACAAAACTGAACCACTCAAAAACAACCCAAACAGCACACTGTAAAGAAAACAATGTCTATGTCTATTCATACAACCCAGGTTCAGGGAATTTCTGATTATGTAACATTGTAAAGGTATACACCAATCTTCTTCCAGACTATTCAATTCTTGTACATATAATTAAGCATTTATTTTAAAAAGCTTTAACACTTTAACAAAATGATTCTCTCACAATTAGGCTTTTATAAGGCCTCCTTCTCCCCATAATAACTCCACGTCTTATAGAAGAACTATCATCTTGGAATAGGCTATTCAGAAAAGTGTTCTTATTTCCTTTCCACCATATTCCATAGTTTAATGCAAAATGGAGAATGTGCTGTTCAAACTGAAGTATGGCATTCAAGCTTTAAACAGACTTAGAACGTTCATAGCCTGATGAAAAGACTCAAATGGAGACATAACTCCTGTAGCAAACACACAATGCTGGCCATAATGCATCAGAAGTAATCGATGCTTCTACTGTATGCGCATCAGTGTCACATTAAAAAAAAGAAGAGCGACAACAGATATTTGGCAAAAATCTTCTAAATTATTTATCCCACATTCTCAAAAAGAAAGTTATTTTTAATGCATCACTCTTAAATTTTACACTGCAATCACTCATGTTTTCCTTTTAAGATTACTTAGAATAATTCTATTAAACTCAACCTAAAGTTTTTCCTCACACACTTTTACATAAAAAGTTACTAAGATCACAATTCTGAGGAATTTCTTTGTAATCATACAAACATAATATGCTTAAACTGCAGTAAAGAAATTAGATTCTTTCTTACTCTACCTAGAATGATCTGTTACCAAATTTGTAGGAACACTTTTTCCACAGCATTTCTTTGTAACAATCACAATCCATGAAAAATGTATCTCAGCTCCACGGTGAACTAGCACCCACGCTTATTCCACATGGGCACCGCCAGTGGCCCCTGCGGTGTCCTCTCAACGACAACGAACTCATCAGGGTTGCCAAGCGCCTCATAGAAAACCAGTAAATCCTGTATCGCGCGCTCCTCAATCTGGAAAGGCGGAAGGGGAAGGAAACTTCCTTTACTTTTTTTAATCATAAGCTAAGCAGGGTTGTGTTAGCTTTCCAGTTTCCTGCTGTGGAACTACCATTTTCTATGCATACGACACAGCGGAGTTAAACTAGACATCCCGCTAGCCCCTTGGCAAGGAAAAGGACTGTGGCCTGAGCTAGAATAATCAGATACCCACCTTCCTTTGAATTTTAATCTTGAGCAGGAGGAAAAAGAAACTGAAAATAGTTATTCAAATCCATTTATTCCAACAGCTCGTTGTGTGAGGTGCTTTCTGTTACTGTATGAGTTTTCTAAATCCTTCAGCTCTCTAGGGCCACTGTGAGTCTCACGTTTCCTAAGCCTGGCTCTCTGCTGTTTCAGCTCAGCATCTCTCCAGTTAGCCCCTAAGTTCGCCTAAGTTGGTGTCTGTTGCCTACAACCTAAAAACTCTTACTGGTACAGAAGCTAGATGTACAGCTAGGTAATGCCGAGTTCTCTACTGATCACTTTTAAAAACTAGAACAGTCCAAAGCATCACCAGTGCAAAAAATATTTAGCATTATTTATTAGTTCTAAATTAATTATCCTGAATACCTTCAATTAATACTTGCTGAATGCTTCAGTTTTTGTTTTACACTGTATTCACATTTTAATGTGACAAATGATGTGCACCTATGCAAAGCAAACAAACAGAATTTTCCTGAGACCTATGAAATGTAGTACAGTTCCTACCCTAAGTTTAGGCATGTTATTTACCTGAATCAAAGCCAAGGGTTTTTCCCGACTTCTAATAAGAGCTGCTTCCTGTTGTAGTTCTTCTTCTACAATAGATGCAAAAGTGACTGGTGCCACCACAGAAGGAGCAGTCAGTGAAGACGACAGCCAGGGGCTGAAAGGACAGTAATGAGGAGTTTTCATTGACCTTCATAAATTTTTGCACACAGTATCTCCTCTGAAATACTCTTCAACAGTGTTACATTTTTTTCTTGTGACCCAGGACATACGGGACCTGGAAGCTTTTGCATTCCATTTATAGAATGACATGGTGAGAAACAGAAACAAGGAGAACGAATGTTTTATTTGATCAGTGCTGTAAAGAGAACTTTGGAAACACCAAAAAGTGTAATGCAGTGAAGCAATATAACTAAACAGAGTTAACTCAAGCTAGACAGAGAAGAGTATTCAGCTAAGTCTATTCAATATCATCATTCCCAATTTCTTAATATTCTCTCTCAGTGCTAAGCAGCAGTCTAGCTTTGGAGGTCCCAGAGCCAATCAATGAACCTTACTTGGGACTGTCTACAAGTGGCACATCCGAAATATGGTTGCCTTCTGGTCCTGGGGTACCATGAGTAGAGCATCTGCAAGACAAATAGCAAAACCAGAGATTAAAGCCCCTGGTAACATCAGTAAACCTGCTTATTAATAGAAATACAGAGGAGGAGTTGCCAAGGCCCTAACTCAGGAAACAAGTTAATATATGCAGTCAGACTTACCTTTAAAACCGTAAGTGAACAAAAAAATCTGTAGGCAGCCTTAAAATCTTGTGTATAAAATACCATGGGGGAAGATCTTGCAAAAATGGTCCTTTTTTCCTAATAATATTCATAAAGCCATTTACTGTAATCAACATAAATTAGGAAATACAGCCAACTTTGTGAAGAATGTTTTACATTAATACTATTTTATGAATAAAGTGACAAATTAGCACCAAGTTTCAAAATACAGAGAAACCAGGTAATTAGCAGCCAAATTTTGTGAGTGATTAATATATAGTCTAAATTTGTGAGGGATTTAAATACAGTAAATATTTTGATACTCTCAGGATTATCGACAGGACGAAAATTCAAGACACAGTCTGTCTCCTAACTCACAAACTACATAAGAAAATAACATATAAAATGATATAATAAACAACAGAAAAGAATTTTGGTCTTTTGAGAGGGCCTCATTGAGAAGTTGATAAAAGGGCTATAGGATTGAGGGCGGGGGGTGGTGGGGAGAGGGGGTAGGGGTAAGAAGCATTCCTGTAAGGAGAAGAATTAACAAAGGAACTATACGGATTGGCCTAACTATGGAATTCTAGGCTTAGAAAGAAACCTAGAAATTACTTAGATTAACCCAATGCCCTCTTTCAGCTATGAGGGAATTTAGGTCTTGCTAGGTTTAACAACAGAAAGTAAACAAACAGGACGTAAAATATTGACTTTTTGATTCACTTACGTACATTTATTGAATATGTGCCAGCACTATGGTACTGAATAACAGACTGATTAAAACTCAGTCCCCTCCACTCAAAAAAATGGTAAGAGAGATTTAAAAAGGTACTTAGGCAATGATAAAACAACATGAGATTATATAATTGATATATTTATAAAAATATATATACAAAGTACTACTGATTCACAGGAGAAATTAACACCAGATAAAGGAGAGTATATGGTGCTAATTTCACTGAGGAAATGACATTAAAGCTGAGGACAGTGGCATGTGAGATAGGGTTTTGATTGTACAATTATACAGAACCGTTAAAGATTTTGATGGCTTAGGTAAAGGTAGGTTCTTCTCAATAAACGAAATGACTGGATTACGAGTACAAAATGCACTAAGAACTAAAATGTTGAGGCCTGATATGGGCAAACAAACTCACTAAGAGCATTTTCATATGCATTATCTCATTTAATGTTTGCAATACTCTGTGAAGAAAGCATGTATTGTTTCCATTATACTGCTTAGGAAACTGATACTCAAAGAATATTAGCTAATTTGCCTGATTCACAGCTTGGCTAAATGACAGAGACAGAACTCAAATCCAGGCCTTTTTACTTTTACAAAAGTACACCGTATTTTCCATTCTCACAAAGACACCTTTATCTCTACTACCCCTGGTGGTCTGGAATACAGTCCACTACACGTGTGTTTCATTCTCTAAGGACTGGTTCCAGGATCCCCTTCTCTCTCCGCCACAGCATTTCGACGACTGTTCTAGGACCTCACACGTGGTGCTCTTGTTCTTTACATGTCTGTCTGAACTGCTCGACTAGTCTCTCAAGGCACAGAACTGTTTCTTTCACCTTTGTATATCAATGTCCAGCAGCCACCTGGAACATAGTTGTTTGTGAAAATAGTAACTAGAGAATAAATAAGTGAAGCAGAAAAGCCGAAGGATTTTAAGTATGGGACAGAATAAAAGCAGAGGTTTTTTTGTTTGTTTGTTTAAGTTCTTTATTCTTTTGAATTACTGGTAACTTCTTTCTTCTAGAAGCAGGTACTGAAATAAAAAATGAAATGAAAATAGGTATAGTTATTAGGTTCTTAGTTTTAATGAAGTCTTATGACTTGAAACCTGCTGGATACCTGACCTATGGCATCCAAAAAATAAGAGAAGTCTAAGAAGACTTGTGGCCAGAAGGAAACAGAGACCAAGGGGGTGAGCTAGAAAGCTGCTGGGATAAGCATGTGGTGAGATGATGAGACTCTAAACTAGAATGAGTGTAAAATAAATAATGGAACAAGGATAACTACCTTAGCCAGACTAAATGCAAATCTCCTTGGTTAAGCTCCTTGAAAGGTCCGTAAGTCAGTCAAGGCTAGAGAGCAGAAACTCTTGGACAAGTATAACATAGCGGAGCAATGGCAGATCATGACTTAACTGGAGCTCAAAAATCGTCCTGGTGTCTAGGGATCAGCTAAAGTGTTTCGACACTTTCAAAGAAAGGCAAAAATGATGGAGAACCAATTACTAATAAATAAGAAGCAGCAACTACAAACTCTTATCTTTGAAAATATGTCAACAGAACTGAATATAAGGACTAAAGTATCTTGTATAGGCCTGTTGAAGCAAAGTTAAGCAGTCAGAGCTTAAGTTATCTATGTAACATTTTATAATTTATAAAGTACTTTCATATAAATTATCTGATATATGCCTCGTAATAAACGTATATGATAGGTGTTACTGTTCTCATTTCAGAAAGGTTCACAGAGGGCCACTGTCAGCATTAAACTGAAACTGTTCGATAAGATTATAATGCTAGAATTCTTTCCACTGATGATTTTCCAGTGGATAGTCTCATTAATTATAAATTTACTCAAACAACTTGAAATCTCTCAAAATCTCATTTTAGAATGAAGCAGAACTGTTAAATAAAACAAAACTATAATTAAATATAAAAAACACAGTGAGCTTTCAGATGATAAATATCAGCATTATTAGGCTTTAGGTATTTGCAACACAGAAATAGACATCTCAATAGATAATCTGTATAAAATTTAGCCTTCTGAAAACAGAAACAACATAAAAGGGCTGGCTAAAATCTTTCAAAGAGTGTGTTCAAACTGAAGAACATTAATCTTGCCAAAGTCAGACTTTAAGAGAACAACTAAATTACTTTTTGCTCATACAGCTTACTACTTTTTAAAAATAATTTTGTATTTTATATAAGATTAGAGTTGATATAATGATTTTTGTCTCACAGGCAGTTTTCTCCTACTAATTAGAAACACAGAATCTTATTTTCTGCCCAGAATTATATCAGGGGGTATTTAAGTGAAAGGAAAATGAAAGAAAACACATTAGAATAAAGAAGAACACAGAAGTAACAATAAACAAACAGACATGCCATAAACCCTTCTTTTCACATCAGTAACAATGCCACTCTTGGATTTCTCTAGTCTTGGGGGAAAAGAAAAATCACATTTTCTACAATTAAAACAAGAATTTCCTGAGATGAGCCCTACATCACTGCCACCCTGATTCCCTAAAGAACCATTAGCATTCCTGTCTTCTTGCTTTAATTTCCACTATTTCCTCTAATACTGCCCTTTCTCCTCTTTTCTTTTAAAAATCTCATCCTATATTCAAAAATGTGTAACAATGAAATCGGTATTTTTCTAATACTATTTGTATGACTATAAATATAATGATCAAATATTTGGGGTGGAATAGAAGTGTTTATGAACTAATAGAAGCCCTTCTTTCTCAACAAAGTTTTTCCCAAGAACTCCAGTTGGTGGTCATTTTTTCCTTCTCTGAACTACTTGCACAACACTTAGTCATATATTGCTTCGTGACTTCATTAACACTGTCATATTTTACTGTAATTTTAATCCTGTTCTTTCAATTAACTTCCACATGTGCACACTTAAATCTACCAACTAGATTTCAAACACATTTAAGGCCAGGCCTGTGTATTATACTTTTATATGCACCCAAGAGATATCTCAAGTGTCCCATAATTTGGTGACCTAATAAAACATAACAGATAAAGTGAAATATTTATTATTTCCTTTAAAAAGCTCTTACGATTACCTATTTTCTATGACAAAATTAAAAATGAAACTTAAGCTGTTTTTTCTCACTGATCAGATGACAGCACCCAGCTATTTAAAACATTAACTTCCACTTAATTACCAAACACCAAAACATACTATCAATACACGCCTTTAACTAAATTTCCAAAGAAAGCACACACAACTTTTTCTCAATTAAGAGCGCTGATGTTACAGCACACTCTAGTGGTCAACTATGAAACCACAGATCCTTAATATTTTTAAAGTTCCATGATAAAAATATTTATCCAAGGAAAATAAAATTTTAATAATGTTAAATTAATGTTCATATCTTTAAGGTATAAATTTTAAGGCATTCAAAAGAACTCACTACATTAAAAAACAAATGTTACCTGAAACAGCTACAATTTTGTTTCATTGATTCATCCCCTCATTCGCCAGATGCTCACTGACCACCTACTACATGCTGGGGAAACTGTCTCATCAGTGATGAGCAAAGAGATCAATCTTCCTTGCTTTCACTAAACAGACAGCTAAATATACAGACATTAAAATACTTGTAGTAGAAAACATTAAAGAATCACACTATAATAAGTTTACAGTAGCCCCCTTCCTTATCCACAGGGAATACATTCTGAATTCCCTGGTGGATGCCTGAAGCTGAACTCCATGCATAGTATGTTTTTGCCCACATATACATATCTATGATAAAGTTTAATTTATAAATTAGGTACAGTAAGAGTTATAATTGTTTTATTTTATTACTGTTGTTATAACAATGTACTATATCAAAAGTTATGTGAATGTGGTCTCTTTCAAAATATCTTGTACAAATGTAATGCCTTTCCCATCATAACCAGGCATTTACGCACTGTGGCTGTAACTTCGGCAGTTTGAGGTACGACAGCAAAACTAGCATGAATTTCTTTTTTCTTCACAATTTCATGGATAGAAGATTCAGTCTTACCATAGATCTTAGCAACCTCAGCATACAATTTGTTTTCTCACCTTACTAGGCTGAGAACTTTCCATTTTTTCACTTCAAGGAAGCACTTTATGGCTTCTCTTTGGCACATCTGAACTGCAAACATCACTCCTCTTATGCTTTGGAGCAATTAAGTAAAGGTTACCTGAACACAAGCACTGTGCATCCCAACAATAGATCTGATCACTGAGATGGCCACTAAGTGACTAAAGGACAGGATATGCTGGACCAAGGGGTGATTCACGTCCCAGGAAAGATGAAGCAGGAAGGTGAGAGATTTTGATACACTACTCAAAACAGCACACAATGTAAAACTTAAATGGAAAATTCCAGAAATAAGTTTTAACATTTTTAGACTACAGCGGACAGCAGGTAACTAAAACCACAGAAAGGGAAACCACAGCTAAGGGGATACTACTGGAACTGTGGGAAGTGTGATGAGTGGGAAGTGCTGTGAAGACGTAACAAGAAGCTGACACAGTAAGGGAAGTCAGACATCTCCAAAGAGTAGTAAGACTAAACAGAGATTGGAAGTCAGACTCAACTAGTCAAAAAGTAGGTAGGCGGGAAGAAGTAAATGGCATTTGAGAAACTAAGGGAAGGCCAAGTTAGCTAAAATAGAGATAATGTTAAAAGATAAAGAAGTTGGACGGCAACAGACTATGTGGGCCTTGAAGGCATATGAGAATTCTAGCTCTTCTCATATGAGGTAGGATCTGCATTTTAAAAAGGACACATTAGTTCAATGTACTGTAGAAAAGTAAGAAAGGCCACGGCAAGACAAGTCAGGAGGCTTTTTCAGCTGACACAAGTGAAGGATCACAGCAGTCTGAAAGAGGATGGTGGCAGTGGAAATAAAATATATATATGGATTTGAGAAATACTTGAGAGAGAAAACAGGTATGTCCTGCTGATAGACTGGGTATTGCTGAGGAATATGGACATGTCAGAAACTTGCAAATGACATTTATCAAGGAAGGAAAATCAAGAAGCAGCTGGTTTTGTTTTTCTGTATTTTTGTTTGATATCGGTTTTATGAGAAGGCTACAAGGAAATCGTTAAGTTGGGTTTTGGACATAAAGTTTAAGATGTTTCTGAACGTCTGAACAGGATGCAGATATCAAGGCAGATGGAGAACTAAGTCTGAAGCTCAGATGACAGATGTAGGCAGGCAATTTAACTTGGAGTCTTTAGTGTATAGCTAATAACCAAACAAAGAAGCTCATGAAATAGCATACAAAGAACATAAGGTGAAATGAGAAGATGAACTATAAGTGAGTCATAGAAAAAGTCCGTGGTGTTGGCAATAATGGAGGTCACTGCTCAACTTAGCCTGAACTGTTCCAGTTTAGCAATGGGACTGGAGGCCAGAATGGATTAAGAAGTGAGTGGGCGCTGACGGCTCTTTTGAGAAATATGGCTGTGAACGGAGCAGGGAATTGGTAATAATAGGACTAGTGCTAGAAAAAAGCATGGGTGTTGCATGAGGGATTAATTATTCCATCCATTCCACATGAGAGAGACCTTAGCATATTCACAACCAGATGGGAAGAGTCTACTTAAAGGGAAAAGGCTGAACATCCCCAAGAAAAGAGAGGGATAGTTGATAGTTTAAGGCTTCTGAAGTGGAAAGGGGTTAAGAAATAAGTGCAGGTATAAAGCCTATCCTTAGATGGGAAGGATCACTTCCACTGCAGAACAAGAAAGGAGGGAAAGATGAATACAAATCCAGGCAGACTTGTATCCCTCACATTAGAAAAATAGAAAAGTTACACGTCTTCCTATTTAAAAGCATGGTCTATAGGACATTACTCATCATATAATTTACAAAACTAATGGTATTCTTGTGGGCTTTTTTTTTCTTCTATCAAAAATGACTATTACTCTCAATTTTTTAAAATACTGTAATAGCTCATAGAGGATGACAAATTACCAATTTTTAAAACTTTTTTCTAATTAAAAATTTGTCTTAATAGAAAACCTTCATGATACATACACATGACTACTTTAGAACATTTTAAAATTATAATTATGTATGTAATAGACACATCTACAAAATATGTAAGTGTGTATATGGACAAGTGGTACGCAAATGTAGTCTGGACATAGAAGGCCAGGAGGAGCTGATTTTTTTTTCAGTCATTTATAACAACTTATTTCAATCAGGATTTTCTTAATTCTAGACAATTAAAATGAGAAATAAATTGAATGTTGAGGCTGATAAACTTCCTCTTTATAATGATTTGTACACATTTAACTAATCATTTCTGTAAGGCTGTTCCTCTCCTCTGGACTGTAAGGTCTCTATGAGCAGGGGCTATGCTAATTTTGCTCCCCAGTAACTCTTGTACCTACTGTAATGTCTGATCCAGAGCAGCTAATAAGTATTTGTCAACCTTAAGGCTACAAATGTCTTACATTGCACCCAGTTTGTATTTATGAGCCCATCAAAACAGCCTCAACATTCTCACTTTATCTGTTTAGGGTTCCATGTAAAATAGCATTCCACTGCTAAAGTATTTGAAAAGTTAGACTAGATGACTTCTCCAGGTCCTTTCTGATCTCTGATTTTCTATACTGTAAGTAAACGGCTCAAGAACTTTGGTTGCAAATGTACACAGCTGTACTAAGAAAGCCATCAACAATAAAACTATGCTTAAATAGTTCATCTAAAGCCAGTAGTTTCCAGTGCTGTTCCAAGACTGACAGTCCCTCACGAGCGGCTTGAGACAGGTAAGGTGAGGTTAAACTAGTATGCTGCCCGGACCTCTCTCCTCACTTCAGTCCGAGAAGTTTGTATTGCCCGTCTGATATATCAGAATTGGATGTAAGATTGTATTTTTAAAAAAGGTTTAGGGGGAAAAAAGGTTTGACAAACAGTGAAAAAATGTTTGTCATTATGAAAAACAAAACCATTAATCTGGTCACAATGGACATTTTAATTACATTTTTTGTCTAAAATATTCTAGGGAGTGTATTAATATCTTTGAGAGATGTCATACTAGTAGAAATAAAAAATTCCATTTAGGCAGCCAACTTGAAACAGTTTTTTCTTCCAACATTGGCATTAAGAATGTTCACTTTTGAACAATGATTAAGAGAACTTACATACCAGGGTGGAAAAGCTAGTTATAGCAAAATATCAAAAATGTAGGCATTTAAAATATGAAACATCTTTTTAAAATAGAAACATCTTTTTAAAATACAATGGACTTTAAAAACCAGTATCAAATATAGCTAGAGAAAAAGCTGGAAACCCCCAAAGGTCCACCAACAGATGCAAATAAACAGATGATTTTATATCTACACAATGAAATATCACTCAGGAAAAAATGAACTACTGATACACATAACAACTTGGATGAATCTCAAAATGCGTGCTAAGTAAAAGATAGATTAAAAAGAAAGTACATGCTGAATGATTCCACTGATCTAAAAACTATAGAGTATATAAGCTAGTCTACACTGACGGGAAGCAGGTTAATACCTGAAGGGGGGCAGGATGGGGAAGGAAAGACTACAAAGGGGCATGAGGAAACTTCTGAGGATAAGGGTTCTATTCACTGACTTGAATGGTTGGTGATGATGGCTTCACGACTGTATACATATGCCAAAACTTTAATTTGTATATTTTTAATACATACAGCTTACTGTAAGCCAATTATACCAAAATAAATCTTCAAAAAAGTAAACATGGTTAATTTTGAATTTAAAAGAAAGAATGTATAAAAATCTGCCTCATAAATTTTTAAAGATTATTTCAGAACGTAAACCATAGAACATTTTAAAGAAGAAAATGTTTATTTTATTACCTTACAACTTTTGGAGCCTGGGAATTTTCAATTCCTTTAAAACACACTTTTTTGACATGATCTCCTGAACTATGGCCAGTAACAATTTTTTTTCTTCTACTATGAAATCCCGGAATGACTTGGATGAAACTGAATGTGGAGAAGAAGCCCTGCAAAAGACAAAAGAGATCATGTAAAAACATTAATGTTTTAAAAAGGTTGTTGCTGGAAGGGACAAGGGGACAATGGATGTATATCATTTAACCATCAATATAATTACATTTTCCAATGTAAGACTGGATTCTTGCTGTCAACTGTAAACTAATTAAAACAATGTGGTAAGAAAAAAAATCAGTGGATACCAACACTGGCGATAACCCAGATGTTGAAATTAGCAATGTCTTTAAAAACAGGTGGTATAATTATGCCTCAGGTAACAACAAAAAATATGCTCAGAATAAATTAAAGAACACATAAGCTCAGCAGAGGAAAGAAACTATGAAAAAGAACAGAACAAATTCAAAAACTTCAATATTCAAAAACAAAATTGACTGGATGGATGTAACAACGAATTGGAGAAGAGTCTAAACTTGAAGGTAAATCAATAGAAATTTTTGAATCTGAAGAACAGAAGGAAAAGATCTATCATAAGTCTAATCTGGGGCCCAGAAGGAGAGGAGAGAAGTATGGGAGATAGAAGTATTTAAAGAAACAATGGTCAAACATTCTCCAAATTTGATGAAATAAATGTAGAGATACAAAGATTGTAGCCAACCACACTACACTTAGGCACATAGTGGGAAACATGCTGAAAACCAGATTAAAATTCTTGAAAACAGTTGCAGAAATACAGCCCAGTATGAAAGCATCTACTTTATTATTAGAAACAATGAAGTCCAAAAGAGGAACAATATCCTTAATGTGATGGAAGTGGGGAAAAAAACTGGTCAATCCAGAATTCTATATCCATATGAGTGAGCGTGGACAAGGATCCTCTCCAAATCAAGCTCTCAAAAAACCACAGCCCCAGATGAAGCCTGACTGCAGCAATGTGGGAGACCTCGAGCCAGATGCACCCACCTAAATGTTAACCAAGCTAAGCCATACTGGATTCCTGACCCAAAGGAAATGTGAGATAATGAACACTGGTTATTTTAAGCCACTGTTTAGGGATAACTTGTTATAAAGCAATAAATAACTAATACAAGATAACACATGAGTTAAGAGGACGATAAAGAAATATTATTATAAATAACTTGGCAAATAAATTTGACAATTTACATGAAATGGATATATCCTGAAAAAAACAATTCAAAGATAAAAAAGCTATATAGAGCTGTATCAAATTTTTAAAAATTGAATTATTTGTCAAACATGTATCTGACAAAGGACTTATACCCAGACTCTGAAAAGAAATCCTAGAACTCAAAAACTTAAAAAGACAAACAGGGCAATTTCAAAAAGCATGCAGGAAGGATCAGAATAGACACTGCACAGAGGAAGACATGTTAGTCAAGCACATGAAAAAGTATTCATTACTCATCAAGGAAACAAACTGAAACCACTATACACCCACCAGAATGGGTAACACTGACAATACCAAATATTGGCAAGGATGTGAAACAACCAACACTCTAATACACTGTTGGTGGAGGATAAAATGATACAAATGATGTGGGAAAAGATCTGGTAGTTTTTAAAACAATAAACATAAATTTTCTATAAAATCCAGCAATTCTTCTCCCTAGTATTTACCAAAGAGAAGTTACAATATATGTCTGCAAAAAAGGACTAAACAGGAAGCAGCTTTACTCATAAGAGGCCCAAACTGGAAAGAGTCCAGGTGTCCATTGACAGGAACCAACATAAATTGTGGTATATTCATACCTTGCATACTACTAAGTAATAAAAAGGAATAAACTATTGGTATACACAATCCAGATAAATCTGAAAACGTGCTGAGTGAAAGAAGCCAAACAGAAAAAAAGTACATTATGTTTCACCGTAATTACATTAAAGTTCTACAACAGGCAAAACTCATCTATAGTCAAAAAAGAAAAACCACAACAGTAGTTGACACTGGGGTGAGAGTAAGGCAAGGAGTAAACAGAACTTTTTGAAGAAAATTTTCTGAGTTAATGGTAATGCTCAACAATTTATTAAAAAGGTTAGTAAACAATGACCAGTGGGGTTTATGCAAGGTTGTTCTAATACTTGAAAAATCCATCCATTTCGTCAGATTAACAGGACAGAGAAAAATCCTATGGAAAAGTTCCATGATCAAGTCAATGGATGCATCAAAAATATGAAATTTAGGAATACATTTTAACAAACCATGGATGCACACAATATATACTAAACTGATATACTGAAACTGTAAAATACTGCTGCGACACATTAAAGAGGATCTAAAAGATTCTGTTTATTCTTGGGAGACTCAGTGACTCAAAGATAACCTGTCAGTCCTCTTCAATTCATGTACAGATTCACCCAACAAACCCCAGTAGACATTCTTCTTTTTGACAAGCCAAATCTAAGATTTATATAAACACAGTCAAAACTAAGACTAGAAAAACCTGGTAATTTTATTCCTAGTTATATACCCAACAGAGATGCAAATATGTTCAACAAAGACAGGAACTAGAATATCCATAGCAGCACTAACCCTAATAGTAAAAAAAAAAAAAAAAGAACTACTCAAATGCCAGCAAGAACTGAATGAGTAAAATAAATTATGTATATTTACACAATGGAATATTAGACAGCACTAATTAAAATATGAATGAATTTATAAATATAATGCTGAGCAAAAGAAGCTAGAAACAAACAATGGTGATTCTATATATAAAAAAAGAGAAATTACTCTATAGAAATAGAAGTAAGGATAGTGAATTGCAGGGGAGGGGACCTCTGAAATGCTAGCAATGTTACTTCTTGATTTGAGAGCTGGCTGCACAAGATAGATACATTTGGTTTGTAAACATACAACAACCTGCACACTTATGATAACTGCACTTCTAAATGGATTATGTTTCAATAAAAAGTAATTTAAAATTTATATCTAATTTTACATGGATAGCACAGAGGAAACAAAAATTATTTAGATCAACTTAATTTTTTTCATAGATCAACTTAAAACACACAAAATTAATCATACCCATCAGAGTTGTAATACTTTGATAATTAGTTAAGAGTGGAATGCATTTACAATATCCACCAAAAAACACGTAATTAAAAATCACCTATAAAGATTAATTTAGTTTCCAAAAGATTTCGTGCTAAGATTTTTACAGTATCAGAATTTTAAATCAGTGTTTTACTTTACCATAAAAAATGTAAAAAGGATGCGCAGGATACTAGTTAGGGTTAGGCACACTGGCTCTGCTGCTGACTGTGTGGGTTCAAATCCTGGCTCTGCCATGTACTAGCTTTGACCTTGGGAAGATGCTTAATCTCTGAGTTTGTTTCCTCATCAATAACATAGAGATACTAACACAGCCTCCTTTGTTATCAAGGTTACGAACATCAAATATTAATTTATGATAAAATATTTAAACAATACCTGACACATAGAAATGATATGTATGTCTGTTACTGTCCACAACGTTCAAAGCATTTAACAAAATTAACCTATTTTGATATAAGAGAAAGATAAAACAATGAGAACACAAAAGTTCTGACCTGAATACAATTAGTTAACAGGCTTAGTATTTCTTTCCTTCCTAAAGACTGACTTAGAAAAATTCATTCAAAAAACCTTTAATTATTTTGTACACTACACCACATGGTACCCTTAACATCATTTTCAGAACCCTTAATAATAAAACTATGAATAACAATGTAAACAGTTTCCTAGTCTACTAATTTTCTTCCATTTTATTTACTCAGAAAACAAAGTGAACACAAATGCTAACCAGTTAATTTCCCAAAAAGTTAAATTCATAGAAACCATAAAATCCACACCCAGATTAAATTTATAAACTATTTGGGGTAACTTATAGAAAATTAGCAAGGACTTCTAAAATCCTGTATGTTGTTTGAATAGCTCATCTGTACCTGACCTAACCACCAAAACACTTTTATGTGCATTGTCTCATTTAATCTTCACAATAACAATCCTTAACGATAAGTACTTTAATCACCACCTAAGCTTAAGAGTACAGCCAAAGTTGAGGGATCGTGATGAACTTAAGATCACCAGAGATAAGGCAGAACTGGGATCCAAACCCAGTTCTTAATGATCACAAAACTCATGCTTTGCCATTTAGTCTACCACTGGCTTCAGTAAGAAATCAAAACAGTACTCCTTATAAAGTGCCAAAGATGACACAGATGGGAGGAAAATGATGATTCACGCTTTATTTTATCAGCATATGAGCTAAACATCTACTCATAACAAAATCATCTAATGTTTACCAAATTTCTATCTGCTCTATAATCAAATCAATATGAACTACTTCACATAAGATTTTTCTTAAAAAAAGATCATCAAGAACTTAATACATGTTAAAGTCAATCATGTGAACATACTACCAATTAAGTTACAATTTAAGTCTGATAATTGTTAATATTTGTACATTTGTGATTATACAATGTTGAAAATGCTGAGCTAAATGTGTTCCCTTTATTAACTCAGTTCACTCTACATAATACCCCTGTGAAACAGGCACTGTGCTTAGCCCTATTTATGAACAAGAAGACAGAGAAATAACTGATCTAAGTTCACACTGCTACCAGGAAACAGATCTACAATTCAAAGCTCAGCAAGGCTCACCCCAGAACCCAGGCTTAATCACTATTACTCTACTGCTGTGTCCACATTTAAAAACCCTTCACCAATGTAAAATCTTAAATCATATGAGAAAAATTTTCTTTATAGATTTGCCTCAAAAACATGACCCACTAAGATATTCATTTTAAATATATTTCTTCAAAAGGAACTTACCTGTCTTTGACTTTAATCATAAAATTTCCCCCACAACACATGCAGAACATTAAAAAATTAAATACATACACAAAGGACTACTTCCCATGTCCATATCAACTCCTCCCCAAAACACATAAAATCGAAGGTTTCTACTGGCAAACAAGGTAACTATGGTGTGTACACTACAGTGTATCATTAGTCATTTGGGAACACTGTGGGCAAATAAATATTCTTGCCAGAAAA